CCCCAGCCACCCGCCCAGGGATTCCAGGAATCCACACCAGGACTCCTGCCCGTCCCGGGTCCCTGGCTAGAAGGTCAGGTGGCTCCAGGAGACCAACTGGGCAACCACAGCCTGGGGACGAATCCCGGCCCTGCCCTTCACCAGGGCATGTGACCTGGTGACCTGCGAGGTGGGCTTCCATGACGTGGACTTGAGGGGAGGCGGAGGAGCAGAGGTGGCTGCTGCCTCACCCCCTCTCCAGGGCACCCTGAGCTGGGAGGGGAGAGGCCATGGGTGCCCGTGGGTGGGAGCCCGGGACCCACAGCATCGGGCAAGGTGGGAACGAAGGTCCTGCAGACGCTGCCAGGTCTGCAGGGGAGTCAGGGTCAGGGCCCCAGGCCTTCTAGGAAGTAGCCATCCCTCATCCCACCCCAGCCACAGGAGTGAACGGAGGGTCCCAGCCCTAGCTGAGCGCAAGTGGGATGTCGAGACCCCCAGTTCCCTCACTGCTGAGCTCCCAGAATCCAGCAGCCACACAACGACTTTTAAATCAATCTATCATCCATCTATCTATCTATCTATCCATCCATCCATCTATCTATCATCCATCTATCTATCATCTATCTATCTATCATCCATCTATCTATCTATCATCCATCTATCCATCTATCTATCATCTATCTATCATCTATCTATCTATCTATCATCTATCTGTCTATCTATCATCTATCTATCATCTATCTATCTATCTATCATCTATCTATCTATCTAATCTATCATCTATCTATCTATCTATCATCTATCTATCTATCTATCATCTATCTATCATCTATCTATCCATCTATCTATCATCTATCTATCTATCTATCATCTATCTATCTATCTATCTATCTATCATCTATCTATCTATCTATCATCTATCTATCTATCTATCTATCATCTATCTGTCTATCTATCTATCATCTATCTATCATCTATCTATCTATCTATCTATCATCCATCTATCTATCTATCTATCATCTATCTATCTATCATCCATCTATCTATCTATCTATCATCTATCTATCTATCTATCTATCATCTATCTATCTATCATCTATCTATCCATCTATCTATCATCTATCTATCATCTATCTATCTATCATCTATCTATCTATCATCCATCTATCTATCTATCATCTATCTATCTATCTATCTATCATCTATCTATCTATCTATCTATCATCTATCTATCTATCTATCTATCATCCATCTATCTATCTATCTATCTATCTATCTATCTATCCATCCATCCATCTATCTATCCATCCATCTATCTATCTATCTATCTATCTATCATCTATCATCTATCTATCATCTATCTATCTATCATCTATCTATCTATCATCCATCTATCTATCTATCTATCATCTATCTATCTATCTATCATCTATCTATCTATCATCCATCTATCTATCTATCATCTATCTATCTATCAATCATCTATCTATCTATCTATCTATCTATCATCTATCTATCTATCTATCTATCTATCTATCTATCTATCTATCTATCTATCTATCCATCCATCCATCTATCTATCTATCTATCATCTATCATCTATCATCTATCTATCTATCATCTATCTATCTGTTGGTGGTACTGCGGATGGAACCCAGGGTCTTTTCATGGCTCAATAGCAGAGTGTACACATATTTTCATTTTTTTATTTTCTGGGGTAGCAGGGATTGAACCCAGGGGCGCTTAACCACAGAGCCACATCCCAGCCCTTTTTATGTTCTATTTTGAGACACGGTCTCACTAAGTTACTTAGGGTAAATTGCCGAGGCTGACTTTGAAAGTGGGATCCTCCTGCCTCACTTGTGCCACCAGGCCCAGCTGTATTTTTTATTTTGAGACAGAGTCTGGGTAAGGTGCTTAGGGCCTCGCTAAAATTGCTGTTTTTGGCTTGCCATTTGCCATTCTCCTGACTCAGTCTCCAGCATCGCTGGGTTTACAGGCTACCGCACCCGGCTCTTTATTTTTTATATTTTATTTTGAGATGAGGTCTCACTAAGTTGTGAAGGCTGGAGTGGGGATTTTAAACAAAACCGTTCAAGAAAACTCCCCAGAACTGGACCCCTTGGTGCTGACTGAATGTCCTCAGGGCTGGCTGTGGGGAGGCCTGGCCTGGCCTGTGAGCACATGCTTAAGTGTGCACGAGGCCCTGGGTTTGGTCTTCAGCACCACAGAAAAGCATGTAGTAGCTGGATATGGTAGGGCCAGCCTGTAATCCCAACCACTCAGGAGGCTGAGGCAGGAGAGTTGTAAGTTCAAAGCCAGCCTCAGCAATTTAGTGAGGCCCTAAGCAACCTGGTGAGACCCTGTCTCAAAATGGAAATAATAAAGGCTGGGCATGAGGCTCAGCACCAAAAAATAAAATAAGCAACAAATAAATAATGAAAAACAAAGTGTCTCCAGGGGCCCCGAGAAATAGATAAAAATTGAGACATTTACACATTCCATTTCAAAACCCTGGAGGGAAAAATCCTGTCCTACCAGGAGAGTAGGAGAGCAGGGGGGAAGGAAACTCCTAGAAAATCACATCCAAAGGGTCAGGAAAAGGGACACCTTGAGGGCTGAGGCTGTGGCTCGGCAGGAGAGCGCTCGCCTGGCATGTGCGAGGTGCTGGGTTCAATCCTCAGCACCACATAAATAAAGACAAATAAAAAATAAAGATGTTGTGTCCAACTAAAAAAAAAAAGGGGGGGGGGACACCTTGAAACTCTCAAGAGCCAGAAGAGCGGCCCACGCCTTAATCCCAGTGACTCAGGAGGCTGAGCAGGAAGGTCGTAAGTTAGAGGCTAGCCTCAGCAATTTAGTGAGACCCTGCCTCAAATTAAGAAAAAAAGGCTGGGGATGTAGCTAAGTAACAGAGCACTCCTGGCTCCAGTCCCCAGTACCTCTCCCACTGCCAAAAAAGAAAGGAGCTAGAAGGGTACAGTAGTCCGGCTCTCAGATGGCCTCTGGTGACTGGTGCTTTGGGGTGTCACACCCTCTTTTGGTCTTACACATATAACTAGGCCTTCTGGGCAGAGTACTGCTGAAGCTGGCGTGGCCTGGCCACACACGACGTGGCAGCGTCCACTCAGCTCTTGGAGCACTTGTTTTGGGGGAAGCTGGCCGCCAGGTCACGAGGCCACTTCAATATCCTCTGGAGAGGTTCCCTGGGAGGAACTGAGGCCTCTAAGTGGGGTGGAATGTCTGGCCACCCACCTGTGAGCTCAGAGTCCTCCACCCAAGGCTTTACCCATCAGTCAAGCAAGCCCGAGGGTGGAAAAAACATTTTCATACCTGTCAAAACTTAAAAGCTGGCTTTCCACGTTCCTTTCCTCAGAAAGCTACCGTGGGATATGCTCCACTAAAACCAAGGGGGAACCAACAATTTGAAGACTCGGGGCCCGAGAGGGGCTTCCACTGGGGTAGTGAGGAGGCTGCGGACAGGTCGACAGATCGTCTAGGAAAATGAAGATGATAAGCCACCTGTTGAGCCTAAAGACCATAAAAGGAGCTTTAGGCAAGTGTGAAAGTTTAAGGCTGATCAGAGATGAATTCATTAAGAACAAAGGAAATGAAAACCAACCAATGACCAAGCCCCTGGGAGCTGTGTAGGAGGTCAGAGCCACAGAATCCCCTCGTCATCCGGGCCAGCCAGCGTGAGCCAGGCTCCTGTTGATGTCACGGTGCAAACACTGAAGACCCAGCTAATCCTGACTGCGTTCCAGCTGTGGGGAGTGGGGCAGGGGCAGGGAAGGAGTCCTCATTTTCCCGAGCTGGAAATCAAAGGATTATGGCTTGAGCTGTGTGCGGTGGTGCGCACCTGTAATCCCAGCTCCGGAGGCTGAGGCAGGGGGATTGCAAGTTCAAAGCCAGCCTCAGCAACTTAGTGAGGCTCTAAGCAACTCGACGACATCCCGTCTCTAAATAAAATACAAAATCAGGCTGGGGATGTGGCTCAGTGGTTAAGCATCCCTGGGTTCAAGCTCTGGTACAAAAAAAAAGAGAGAGAGAGATTATGGCTAATATAAGTCCAGAAGTAGTAACATAAGCATGTTATCTAGAGACACAAAGATAAGAAACACACAAACCAACAATTCTCTTCCACTGCAGACGTACAACCACCACGAGTTGTTTCCTGTGCACCGAGTTGTTCTGCCCAGACACCAGCTGACGCTACCAGGAGATGGCGCCGTATCCCACAGGGTGAGGGCTCAGTCCCACAAGACTGGCCCCACTCTGACGCCAACCTCACTTCTGGCCAACCTACTATAAATCAGAGGTCCCTCTGGGGACCCTTGGGTTCCATGAATTTGCTAGGACAGATCACAGAAGGCGGGTCAGCGCCTGCACTGGGTTACTCTAAAGGGTGTTGCCAAGGCTCCGCTGACAGCCACCTGTGAGCCGAGAACCCTCAAGCCACCAGATCTCTTTGCCCAGAGTGGCGCCCACCTGTAATCCCAGGGACCGCAGAGGCCGAGGCCAGTTTGAGGCCAGTCTTAGCCAAACTCTGCCTCAAAAATCAAATAGCTGGGGGCTGTGGCACACAGCTGTAACCCCGCGACTCAAGAGGCTGAGGTAAGAGGATCACAAGTTTGAAACCAGCCTTGGCAACTTAGTGAGGCTCTAAGCCGTGGTTGAGGGCCCTGGGTTCAATCTCTGGTGCCCAAATAAAAAGGTCTAGGGATGTAGCTCTGGGTTCAAGCCTTGGTGCAGGAGGGAGGGGGAATGAAACAGGAAACAGTAAAACAAACAAACAAAACCTTCAAAAGTGTTTACAAAGCCTAAACTCCACCCCCTTCCCGAGTCCTCTGGCAGGTGGGGCTGTAAATCCTGTCCCTCTGATCACCCCGTGACCCTACCCTAACTCACCTCATTAGCATACACTCAGGTGCCTTTAAAAGGAGCGGATTTAGAATGCCTAAAGATACTAGTTATCAGGAAACACAGAGTTTCATGACTGTGTCAGAAATTGGGGACAAAGACCAAATATATTTCATTTTATATCACAGAAGATAAATTCCAAAATAATCAGCTCAAAGAGAATAAGGGACTGCTTCCAGCAAGAAGGACGTTGTGGCCGGTGTGGACGGCCAGGCCAGAGAATGATCTGAACCCTTCAACCAGGGATGCAGCTCATTGAAGAAATTTTGCTGAGTGCAGTGGCGCGCACACCTGTGATCCCAGCGCTTCAGGAGGCTGAGGCAGGAGGGCTATGAGTTCAAAGCCAGCCTCAGCAAAAGCGAGACTCTAAGCAACTCAGCCAGACCTTGTCTCAAAATAAAATATCAAAAAGGGCTGGGGATGTGGCTCCGTGGTTAAGCTCCTGGGCTCAATTCCTGGTACCAAAAATAAAAATCAGGTAGGATTGAGTTTATTTCCCTTGTCACAAACTGGGCTGTTTTGCAGCCCTCAAGACTGCTGGGACCTTGGGGGGGACTCGGGTCCCATCCTCACCAAGGCTGCTGCTGCTCCAGCATATCAGTCCCCTGCCCATCCCAGGGCGGGACCTTGAAGATGCCCCTCTGTGGTGGGTGGGAGAGGTCGGGTCCCTCCACCCTGCAGGGGAGGCTGTGCCCTGGCTGTCCACACCAGGCAGGGCCGTTTCTGCCCAAGCTCCTCTCCCCTGCCGACAGGTGTCCTGACACAGGGATTGAGGACGAGCCCAGGGGGCGCTCTACACTGAGTTGCAACCCCCTGGTCCTTTTCATTGAGACCCCCAGAACTCCAGGGCCTAAGGTTGCCCCCCCCCTTTCCCCAGCAGTGACCCCTGCCCGGGCCACCCTTGAGATAGGGCTGGCGGGAAGTGGGGAGGGGTCTGAGCAGGCCCCCTGCCAGGAGCCCCGACCTGCAGGGGTGGGATGGTTCTTAAAAGGGTGGCTGCCTGCTTGGGACCCCCATCACCTTGGGCACATCACCTGCCTCACCTTCAGGGTGGGGAGGGGATAGCTCCATCCTCAGGACTGTGATCAGTAAGATGCCTGGTCCCCAGGCTGGAGCCTGGCCCTGCTGGACCTTACAGGAAGCAAGTGACAGCCTCCCTGACCACCAGGCTGCGCCCTGGCCTCACTGGGGCCTCCCTGAGAGTTGGGAGACACCAGGGAAGACCCCAGTCCCCTAGCCTGGCTTCTAGGACTGCCTGGGATAAGGGGGTAAAGGGGAAAGGTTAGACTGAGGTCAGACTTGCTGTGGGGGCAAAGGTCAGAACATGCTCAGAGACTAGTGGGCCTATGGGGGTGGGAGGAGAGCAGGGTGGGCGGTGCCCAGAGACAGGCAGTAGCTGGCCTGAGGCCAGAGTCCCGGTGAAGCTGGGCCCTGGCTCCCCACCCCCCATCATTCCAGATGTCCCCAAACCCTCTTGTCAACTCAGGGCCCTAAGGTGGAGGCTCAGGAAGGAGAGGAATTCCAGTGCCACCCCCCAGCCAGGGCTACTCCCTAGTCCCAGCGTCCTTGTCAGCCCCTCCTCCAGACCCATCCCTGACCAGGCTTTCTCAGGCCAGTCTCCAGAGCCGGGTGGGGCCGGGCCCTCTCTTCCCAAATCTGCACCTGGACCCAAGTCCCTCCTGGTGGCTTTGGTACCCAGTAAGCCCGTCCTGGACAGCAGGAGGACGAGGCTCCCGGGACACCGAGGGCCAGAGGTTCAGCACCTTGGAGAGGTAACAGCCCAGCGCACTACCACCCCTGCATTCAGCCTGAACCCCTGGGGGTAGCTGAAAGGAATGTTCCAGAAGGAACTGAAGGTTGGGGGTGGGGAGGCAGTGTTTGACCCAGGCTTGAGCCAGAACCTGGCCAAGTTCCCAATGTGCTTAACAGGCCCCAAGTAACTGAGCTCTTACCCTAATCCAACCAGCCCCCTCTGGGTCACACCCAGTGCCCACCTGGTGCAGGGGTGACACTTTTCATCTTGTGAGGTGGAAATCCTGGGATACTGGGGGCAGCCCCAGGACAGACTGAAGCCCTTTTAGCAGCACCCCCGACCCTGTCAGTCCCAAGGCCCTGGCCCAGGGGTATGAGCCTGGGACCTTGCTAATAAGGGTTCCAATGGCTCATCAGCTTCCTGGGACAGATTTGGGGCTGGTTTGGTGACTGTAGTGTCACTGGGCGGAAGTCAAGGGGCAGGCCAATGTCACAGTGGGGACGGGGCATGCAGACCCTCACTCACGGGAGCACCCACAACCACAGACGGGGCTCCTGCGGGGCTGGCGGCGGTCGGGGACACAATGGCAAACTTTGTTATAAATACGCGTGTTTGCTGAGGGGCGAGAGGGCCGAGGCGCGTCTGTACAGAGCTGGTCTGGGCTTGGGCGGAACGCCAGAGAGACAGACAGACAGAGTGCCCAGCAGGGCAGGCCGGGCAGCATTCCGGGGCCTGTAACACTTGGTCGGTGGGCGAGAGCTGGCGGGGGTCGGGTCCGCGCTGCGGCCTGGGCACGCTGGAGACGCCCCGTCCAGCCCGCGGTCCTGGGCGGCACTGCAGCGGCTCCGGTCAGCGCACGTCGTTCAGGGCCTGGTAGGACAGGGGGCCGTCAGGGGACGCTCAGGGCTGCGCGGCACCAGGCGGCTCCGGAGCCCGGCGGCGCTCACCTTGCGGGCGAACTCGGGCAGCACGAAGGCGGCGCGGTGCACGTCCGCGTTGTAGTAGCGCAGCGCCATGTGCTCCACCTGCGCCGGCGACAGCGGCCGCGCCGGCTCCCGGAAGTTGGTGCTCTGGGGACCCAGGACACAGGGCATCAAGGCGGGGCTCTGCCCACCGGCGCCCGCCCTGGGGGCAGCCGCCAGCTCACCGGGTTTTTGCTGCAGAGCATGAATCCGATTTGGCCGCTGGGGTAGGTGGGGATGGAGCAGTAGGCGTAGGCCACCACCGGGAAGAGGGACTTGCAGAACTGCCGCATCTCCTTGATGAGGTCCAGGTGCAGCCACTGGCACTCGCCTGGGGGAGGCCCACAGCGTCAGCCCGCAGGGCCACCCCCCCCTGCCCCCTCAGCTCCCGGCAGCCTCACCCTGGCAGCAGAGGATGCCGTCCTCCTTGAGCGCCGTCTTCATGAGCTGGTAGTAGGATTCCTTGAAGAGGCTCTCCGCGGGGCCTTCAGGGAGGGGGTGGACACATGGCTGAGACCTCGGGGCCACCCACTGCCACCTCAACACAGGCCCTCACAGCTGCCCAGAGGTGGAGCTCACATTGGAACCCAGGTCCGTGGCATTCAGGCCCTGGCCAGGCAAGGTGAGGCTCACCCCCTCGGCATGTGAAGGGCCCTCTACTTAATCAGTCCCATTCTGGGGGGATTCTTGTGGTCAGAAAAACACTCTAGCCTTGGTTTTAGACTAGAACCTGTGGGGCGTGGTGGTGCACGCCTGTAATCCCCGCTGCTCAGGAGGCTGAGGCAAGAGGATGGGAGTTCAAAGCCAGCCTCAGCAAAAGTGAGGCGCTAGGTAACTCAGTGAGACCCTGTCTCTAAATAAAATACAAAATAGGGCTGGGGATGTGGCTCAGTGGCCAAGTGCCCCCAAGTTCAATCTCTGGTATCCCCTCCCCCCAAAAAAGACTAGAACTCATTCTCCACCCAATGTAGGCCAGTCAAGGGCAGAGGGGAGGCCAAGGAAGAAACTGGACCCTCAGTGGGCCAATGTCTGATCCCCACTCTCAGGTCCCCAGACTTGTGAACTTGGGGCAGTGGCCTGGTCTCTTCCCTCTTGTCAGGAGGGTGTGGAGGCCTCAGCCCTTGCTCACCCATGGGGTCCGAGGAATCGGTGATGATCACATCGAAGGCATCTTGGTTCTGTTTCATGAACTCAAAACCGTCGCCCACATGCAGGGTCAGCTTTGAGCTGGAGTAGCCAACAGCCATGCTCGGCAGGAACTTCTTGGAGACCTGGATGACATCCTGAGGAGGGAACAGGAAGGAGCAGGAAGGAAGTTGGGCTCTGGAGCTAGTCGAGTGGGACTCCTAGGAGTACTTCTGGGAGCCTGGTCACCTTGGACAAGCCCTTCCTTTTTGGAACCTCAGTGTCCACACCTTTAAAATGGGGAGAACTCTGGCACACAGCTCCTCATGAGAACGGGGTGCTGGCTCTTGCCTGCAGCTCAGACCTCATCTCCCACTATCCCTGTCCCCTCCCCACAGGCCAACTACCCCAGCTGCACAGCTTGCTTCCCATTTCAGAGGTGGCAGCGCCAGACCCTGGCCGCAAGAACCCTGTTTATCTCCACCCCACCAGCGGCTTCTGCTCAGGCTCCAGCTTAAATGCTGCACCGGGAGGCCTATCCCAATTACCCTGCACTCTTGAGCCTGTGTCTTCCCGCCTCCACCACACTCTCTGGCCCTGTCAAGCCTTATCACATCCCCCTCTGAGGTCTTCTCCAACTTGTAACTTCATCGCCCAGGGTAAAGGACACCCCTGTCTACTACTGGACCCCAGCACCTCCAGCAATACCCAGCAGAGTCAATGAGCACTAAAAACAGGCCCAGTATAAAGAATCCTACTAACTGGAAGTGTCCCGAACCTATTAAGAACTAGCGCGCGGAGCTCTGCGTGCCATTTTCCCACGGAATCCTCCCAGCAAGGTGCAGCACCGTGCCCAGGGAGCGCGGCCAGGTCTGGGTGAAGCGGGACAAGCAGGCACACACTCACCTCGTCGATCTCGCACTGGACCACAGACTCTACGGAGGGGTGCTTCACCACCTCCCGCAGGACGCCACCATCTCCGCCTCCGATGATCAGCACCTGGGGTGGGGGACAGTCAGATTCAGGGGCCCTGAAGGTCTGAGTGGCAAGGAGCAGGGCCACCCTACAGAACCATCTGGAGCAGGGGGTTCTGGGCTCTCCTGAGCCCAGAGCCGCCTGACTTCCTTCGCTACTCTCAGAAATGCCTTCCAGCCTCAGCAACCTGGCCAGGGCTGTCCCCGTTTCCTGGAAGCCCCTCCCAGGGTTGCTCTAAGGTTCAGGTCTCAGGGGGACTGCTCCCCAGAGGCAACGTCAGCCTCCGTCCACCCAGGGACTCCCCTCAGCCTTGCCAGCGCTTTCTGACAGGCCTCTAGGCAGCATGGGCCAGGCATGGGCATGTCCGGGGCCTCTTCTAGCCCAGCCCTGCTCCTCAGAACTCACGGCTAACTCCGGGCTGGAGCAGGGTACCTTTCGGGGGTTGGGATGGCTGCAGAGAGGCAGGTTGGCTATCATCTCTTGGTAGGAGAACTCGTCCCTCTCCGTGCACTGGATGACGCCATCCAGCACGAGCACGTTACCGTAGGTCTTACTGCGGGTGGAGTGACAGTCGGGGGCCTGAGTCTTCTGGGGTGAGGGAATGTGCCCCAACCCCGCCACAGGGTCTCAGGGGTAAGTAGAGAGGGTGACGCGTGGCGGGGATGGCAGGCCAGCCCACGGGGTGGGGTCTGGGGTGGGACTCGGGGTCTCCTCGGCTGACGTGTCCTGGGACTGACACGTGGAGCGTGGCGCACACTGGCTGCCTCCTGCCCGAGGCCTGCATGGAACGCCTCCCCCAGCCCCTGGGCACGGGTGCACGGCGGGGAGGGGACCAGGCAGGAGCAGGGCCTAGTTCCTAAGAACTTCTGACAGTTCTGCAGGGGGCGGGCGGCAGGCAGGGCGCTCGGGGGCGTCGGGAGGAGGAAGGCAGGACAGCGGCTCGGCCAGAAGGGGTGGCTGGGCCGGAATTAGGGCAGGACGAGGGCCGGCGGGGGTCAGAGCTTGCAAGGGTCCCGGAGCCGGGCAGCTGCGGTCTGGCTGGGAGCCGGTGGCGGTACCTGCGGAAGACAAGGATATCCTGGTACCGCGAGCGCCGGTGGTGGAGCAGCTGCTCCACCTGGAGCGACAGGGCCTGGCCAGGCCACAGGCTGCACGTCTCGCGGAACCAGCCCTCGCGGATGGCGGCGGGGCCGTCGGGGCCGGGCTCCATTGCGGGCGGCGCGGGGCGCGGGCCCGGGACTGCAGGCCGCGCGGAGCCGCAGCACAACGGGACCAGCTCCGCCCGCCGCCCGCGCCGCAACCTAACCCGGCCTGAGGGGCGGGGCCTGCCGATGGGGGGCGGAGCCCTAACCCTCCAATGGCGAAGCGGGAGCGGGCCCGCGGCGAATCGGCGGCGCGGCCTCGCCGGTCGCTCATTGGCAGCCAGTCCGCAGCGCGCCGCCGATTGGCTGAGGCGCGCGGTCCGTCGGCGACAGCACGGTAGTGCGGTCTGCTCCGGGGCCACGTGGGGCTCCGGCCGGGGCTGCGGCCGGGCGGTCCGGGTCGCGGGCGGGTTCCGGGGCGGGCTGCGCGGGCGGAAGGGGTCCGGGGTCTCTCCTCCGGCTTCGCGCAGGCCAGGCCCTGCTCCCTCGCAGGGGTCCGGAGGGGCCGAGGGCCGCCCGTCCAGGCCCGGGCGAGCGGCTGGGGGACTCCGGAGGGAAGGCGCGGAGCGTTGCGGCGCTGGGACCTGCTGGCGGGGGCTCCAGGCTGTGGGCAGCAGGAGCGGGCGCGGCGGCTACATTGTCAGACCAAGGGTTACGATGTTGCCGCGGCGGGAGTGGAATGTATCCTCCTGCGTCCGCAGGTGCGGCTCCGCGGTGGAGCCTCGGGTCCCGGGTTAGTTGGGGGCTCACGGAAGATTTTTTTTTTCTTTTAATTTGAAAGGTTCATCACAGCCTGCGACTTGATAAGCTGAATTTAGCCACTTCCCCTAGATTCCCTGCGTCTTGAACGGATGGCTGCCGAATAAGTTTTTTTTTTTTTTTCCTCTTCTAAATGAGTTTCTAAATTTACTGGGAGTGTCCAGGAAGAGTCCCAACACATGCATATTCAGCATCAGAAGACTGGCATGCTTTTTTCTTTTTGACACATTGGGTCTTGCCCTTTGAAGGGTGGGCGGGATTGTGCTGTTTTTATAAAAATGTCAAGGAACTCCTCAGAATCACATTAAGCATGCTAATTACCAAATATTAAATGCTAATTGCTCTCTGCGCAGTTCGAATGCCAAGGAAGGAGATGAAGCTGGTAATATGTTCTTCGGTCTTCGTGACAGTGTCAGTGATGTTTTTTTGACTGACATTTTATAGCCTCCACCTGGAGTGGGAGCACGTTCCCCCTCTCTCTTTTAGGCAAGCACTCTCCTACTGAGCTACATCCCTGCCTTTTCCATTTTATTTTAAGAGAGGGTCTTGCTAAATTGCCCAGGCTCACCTGGAACTTATGATCCTCCTGTCTCAGCCTCCCCAGGAGCTGGCATTACAGGTGTGTTCCACCACAACCGACTGACTTTCCGTTTCTGTAACTAGGATGAAGGGCACAATGTTGTGTATTAGTAGGTGCAACTTCAAGAGCAATATGGGCCTTGGCTGACTGCATGCTTCTAGAGGGATGTAAGCCAAGGCAGTTGAAGGATTGCTAGGAGACTGCCTGGCGCAGTGGCACACATCTGTAATTCCAGCAGCTCAGGAGCCTGAGGCAGGAGGATAGCAAGTTTGAAGTTAGCCTCAGCAATTTAATGAGACTATCTTAAAAAATAAAAAGGAGTGGGGATGTGGCTCAGAAGTAAAGAACCTCAGGGTTCAATCCCAGTCCTACCCCCAAACAAACAAAACCCCAAAACTCCCAGGAGACAGTTCCCATGGAGAACCTAAGGATAAGGTGGAGTCACTCTGCCCAGCTAGTAGAGTTGGTTCAGTCTGTACTTGGGAAAAGGTGTTTGCGTAGCCTGTACTTCCATCTAGACAGTCTTGCTTCTGGGCTGTAGAGATCAGTTTCCTTGTGTGTGTATCCTGAGCTGGACTAAGCTCCAGGAGCCTAGGGATGGTGTCTGTAGTTGGGAGGCACCATATGATGGGCTGAGTGAATGTCTGAGGCCCAGTATCCTATGGGCCAGTTGGCTTGGATTCCTATCTAGATGGTGCATGGCTGTGCCCATCCCATCCTAACAGGCTGAACAAAGCTGCCCCCATGTGGATTGTCCAGTGAGACTGTGACACCCTTTGCCCTCTGTGGAGCCTTGGCCTTCAGGCTAGAGTGTGCAAGAGTTGCACACACTTTTCAATTTCAAGAAATAAAGGCCCTGGAAAAGGTATTGACAAAATAGTCTCCAGATGGAGAGCACTAGATGCCACGCCAGATCATGAGAAGGAAAACCTGTGGTTTTGCCCTAAGTAGCCTCACTCCCATCTGAACCATAGACACTGAAAATCAGGAGAAAACCAGATTACCTATGAGACATTTCCCCCGATTCAGAGAAAGGAGCATGGGAGCTTAAGTGGTAAAGCATGGCTGGCTGGCTGATGGGGTCACTGTCCCAACCCCTAAGTGGTGGTAACTTTAAAGGGGAAGGAGGAAGGCGGGGAGAGGAGAGCCCATGGCCATTTTCCAAAGTAATGGTTTGATGGTTTCGGTGGGACTGCCACCAGGTGTCTCTGTCGTGGAGAGATTTATTAGGCAGTTGGCACTCAACAGAATCATCATGTGTTCATCCAGGCAAACAGCTGTGGCTGAGTGGGAACAAATTTGGCCATTACATGGTCTGGCTTGGTGGAAAATGCATCTGGCAAGTTATCTGAGCACAGGGAGCCAGAGCAGAGCCTCCCTGAGCCGGAGCCCTTCTGAGTGCTCCTTACCTCCAGCTGGGGGCCTCCAGATCCCTTCCCAGAGCATAGCCTGGGCCTCTGTGGTTGTCACCCAGCAGTTCCTGACAGGAGCACGAGGCTCCAGCAGGCTGAGCCACAGCTGCTCTCCAGCCCCTCCAAGGCTCTCATCTCCACCCCAGGCCTCCCATGGGCCAGTACTGCTTTGGAGACTCCGATCTGATTGCTTCTTCTTTTTTTTTTTTAATTTCTTTTTAGATGTTGATGGAACTTTATTTTATTTGTTTATTTATATGTGGTGCTGAGAATCAAATACAGTGTCTCACACATGCTAGGCAAGCACTCTACCACTGAGCCACAACCCCAGCCCTGATTGCTGACTTTTTTCTGCAAAAAGGGACTTTTTTTTTTTTTTTGTATTTGCTTTTTTATTACTGAGGATTGAACTCAGGGGCACTCAACCACTGAGCCACATCCCCAGCCCTTTTTTATATTTTATTTAGAGACTTGAGTTGCTTAGCACCTCGCTTTTGCTGAGGCTGGGTTTGAACTTGCAATCCTCCTGCCTCAGCCTCTCAAGCAGCTGGGATTACAGGCATGTGCCATTGTGCCCAGCAAAAAAGGGACATTTAAAAAGACCTAGTTGGCTGGGTGGCACATGCCTGTAATCTTAGTAACTTGGGAGGAGGCAGGAGGATCCCAAATTCGAGGCCAATCTGGGCAATTTAGCGAGGCCCTGTTTTTAAAACAATAATAAAATCCTCCTCCCGTCTCTGGCCCCATCTTAAAATGATAACACTGTCACAAAAACAAAACCAGCAAGGAGATCTTTCAAATAAAGGACCAGGAGTCATTTCAACAGACTTTTCATTCCTGTCTGCCCAGTGGGAGCCTGGTAACCACATGGCCAGGTCTGGGCCACTTACCTTCTGTTGGCCTGGGTGGTGCCAGACTGGCCTCCCTCAGGCTCCACAGGCCTGCGGTGCTGGCTCACCAAGTTCCCCAGGCTCCTTTCTTTACCCCTCACTGTCCAGATGCCTTCTTTAGGAAGCCCACCCTCAGGCTATCCTCAGTGGAAACCGTTTCTCACCTTTAAAAATTTCCATCCGTCCATTTTATTTAGTAGATTCTGCCATTTTTTGGCAGAGGCTGTGCTTTGTCCTTCAGTGTCTATTTTATTTTTACCAAATTTTGTACTCAGAATTCTGGATCTTTTGGTGGGCAAATGGATGACTGAAATACTAACATTTCTCAGGACCTCTTGCTGTGGCCATGTGACTAGGTTCTGGTCACTGGGAAGTGGAAAGAGGCTGGGTGCTCTTGGCTCCCTTCCAGCTGATTGGAATGATGATGTGATGGCTGGAGCCACTGGGTGGGGAGGAGGAAGTCCCGTGTTCAAACTGAGGGTGGCTTTCGTGAGCCACCATGCTGCCTCTGGACAAACCTTATTTACAAAGGGAAGAGAACATTTGTCTTGTTCTCAGAGTTTGACTTTCTTGTCACTTTCAACCAGCCTGATCCTAGCTGATACAAACCCCGGCCCATCTGCAGACAGGGCTGCTTTTTGCTGTCCTCCTGACAAGGAAGTCCTACTCTGAAGGGCCATAGCAGTGTGAGGCTTAATTTGGCCCAGAGCCTTCCCTGCCTGTGGCTGTCATGCTTAGTTGGCCCTCAATAATTTGTGAGAGAAATTTCAAAGAAAACGGTTCCTAATTTAAGTATTTGTGGTAACAAAAATAATGGTATTCTGTACTTTGTTGATTTCATTGTTTCAGTAAAATAAAATGTGGCTCAAGCGGTAGCGCGCTCGCCTGGCATGCGTGCGGCCCGGGTTCGATCCTCAGCACCACATACAAAGATGTTGTGTCCGCCGAGAACTAAAAAATAAATATTAAAAATTCTCTCTCTCTCTCTCTCTCTCTCCTCTCTTACTCTCTCTTAAAAAAAAAAAAAAGAACTCTTTAAAAAAAAAAAAGAAATCATCAGTTTTGGTCACAATTATGAAGTTCAATGTTGCATTCAGAATAGTATAAAATAGAGCTGGTGCAGCGGCTTGTGAGGCTGAGGCACGAGGATCACGAGTTCAAAGCCAGCCTCAGCAACTTAGCAAGGCCCTAAGCAACTCATTGAGACCTTGTTTCTAAATAAAGGGCTGGGATGTGGCTTAGTGGTTAAGTACCCCCCCACACACACAAAGTACAAAGCAAATTAATGGAAACCTACATGTTTGATTATGAGGGTTGGCTTTAGAATGAGAAATACCTTATAAACTTTAAAGGTGAAAAACAAAAGGAACTTAAACCCAAGGCTGTAAATTTAAAAATATGAGAGACTGGCTCAGGACCCACTGAAGATGACCCAAATATGCAGATGAAATGATGTGTATCCTCTTAGAACCCACACATCCTGCTGTGTACATTTCTGGAGGGCTGGGTCAGGGCCTCCTGTATGCTGGGCACGTGCTCTACCATTGAGCTACATCCCAGCCCATCTTGTATACCCAAATCATCTCCAGGTTACAGATAAAACCTAATTTATGTAAATAAAAGCCCACTGCTTGGTATGGGTATAATTAAAAAAAAATTTTCCCTCCCAGGCCGCCTGAGCTCATGGACATGGAACCCATGGCTATGGAAGACGCCCTACGACTGTGCATCTGCACCCACAGGAAATACACAACACCCGGCGATTCAATTTCTTGTTTGCATTTTTCTGTGCCATCCACATTTGCTACGGTAAACATGCTTTCCTCTTGTTTTTGCAGTGCTGGGGATTGAATCCAGGCCCCTGCACATACGAGGCGAGTGCTCTACCTCTGAGCTACTTCCCCCCAGCCCAATGTTACTTCTTTTATAATCAGGAAAAGACAAAGTTTTTTTTTTTGTTGTTGTTGTTTATTTATTTTTTTCTTTCTTAAAGGAAGAGAAAGGAACAGAGATCAAGTTCTCCAGAAGCCACACTGGCTCCAGGGCACTCCAGCCCCTCTTTGCAACGGCGTACCACAGCTTCACCCACATTATCCCAAAGCCCAGATGGGTCAGAGGCCCACAGAACCCTCCTAAGGCGAGCAACACCTCACTCTTTTGAGTCACAGGCTGTTCTCCTGTGTTACTCCCTCGGGGGTTCTGGCTTTCTCTAGAAATCACAGTGACCTTTCAGGGCACTCTCCTCTCTCACGGACAGCTGAGGGTGGTGGCGTGAACAGGACGGGGCCTGTCCTTCCTGCCAGGGCTACGATGGCAGCAAAAGAAGAGTCAGGAACCAGCTTTCTTCCAGAAGGAATTAGTTTTAATGGTTTAAAAATGCATTTATATAAAAGCAGCACCACCATTTGGTGCTTCCAGTCCCTGGGGTCCCAAGGGTCTCTTCCAGCACTATCTCTTTGGCCAGTTGTACCTAAAGCCTCTGCAGAGACAGTAGGAAAACAGAGTTACTTCTTCCAGAGTGGCTGACAGTTGGGTCTCAGCTGCTTTATACAACACATAACCCTCTAGAAGGCAGAACTGAAGAATGGCTTGCTTGGGCCCTGGGGACTGAGCTGGATGGCAGTTTTTTGGGGTGGCAGGGGCAGAGTGCGGGGCCCACAGCGATGGCCGAGGCCCTGAGCAGAATTTTTCCTGTGCCAGGGCCCAACCTCAGGTACTACTCTGGTATCATCTGGATTTCACACTCTTAACTACAACATTCTTCAGCAATGACAACCCACATTTGCCGATTTTTTCTTTCTTTCCTAAGAAACAGGCTGACCTAAGAAAATTTCATACATATTTGCTCTGTCTGAGGTGACCTCAGGAAACTAAACAGGAAAGAGCAAAGAATAAGGGGTCTGAATGCTGGGATGCAGTAAATAGCCATATGACACGTGGCACATAGCGAATCACGTCCCCTCCTGTTTTTCAAGTGACAAAGAGAGGCCTGGCTGTGGAGAAAGCCTCTGCTCTTCTAGACAAAGCCCTCTGAACTGTGCTCTGCTGCAGGTACCCAAGCGCAACAGGGAGGGTGCTTTCCTGCTGGGCTCCAGGGCCCTCGCCTGGCTGCTTCCACATACCTGTCTGATTTTCCAGTTGGAAAGGACATGCTTTTGTTTCCCACTGACTGTTTCAGTTTTTTGGCTGCAAAGCACTTCTGAAAAGATAAGAGATGTTGAAGGTGGGGGACAACCTTGACCAGCAGAGGAGAACACCCAACTCAGATGGCTAGGGAGAGGGGGTACCCAGCACATGGGTGAGCCCTGGTTTCCAGCAGTGGGCACACCTGTGCACTTCAAGACACAGCTAGGGCAGGAACAGGAGGCTCTCTGCACAGCCCTGCTCCCACATGCCAGCCCCGCTGGGCCTGGACCCCACAGGGGGTACACACTGGCCATACTGGCACCCAAAGGGGTGCTTCTGACCTGAAGCTAGAATTCCCATGGCTACCTGGCACGGTGGTGCACGCCTGTAATCCCAGTGGCTCGGAATGCTGAGGCTAGAGGATCTTGAGTTCAAAGCCAACCTTAGCCACTTAACGAAGTCCTAAGCAACTTAGTAAGACTGTCTCAAAATAAAATATAACAAGGGCTCGTGCCCCTGGGTTAAAAAAAAAAAAAAAAATTCCCATGGCTGCAAAGAGAAAAACTGCATGCCAGGCTGGGTGGGGGCCATGCCTGTAACCCCAGCGGCATGGGAGTCTGAAGTAGGAAGGAGGAGGATCACAAGTTCAAAATCAGTCTCAGCAAAACTGAGACACTAAGCAACTCAGTGAGACCTGTTTCTAAATAAAATACAAAATAGGGTTGGGAGGTGGCTCAGTGGCTGAGTGCCCTTATTCAATCCCCGGTAAACCCCCTACCCCACAGAAAAAAAAAAAAAAAAGACAACAAATAACTGCACGCCATCTTTTACAGCCACTTAAAAAAAATGGCAGAAACACCTGCTGGGTGCCGTCTCCCCTGGGAAGGAAGGAGCAGGAGAAGCCACAGAGGAAGAGGACTGCTGGATGGAGCACCCTCCCAGCAGAGGGGCTGAACCAAGACTGCGGGGAGCGCAGCGCTCCTGGTGCGGCCTTACCTTGCCAGACACGGCTTGCTTACTGGGGTCAAACTGGGAGGAAGGTTTGGGTTTGCTGTCTCCTGCAAGGTAAGAGATGAGGCCAGCGCTGAGGCAAGGAGCTTATGACAGGGCCCGCCCGGGGTTCAGAATGCTGGCGGCCAGCCTGCCACCTGCTTTGCGATGACATAAGTTAATGTTTCCAATCGCTGCTGCTGAGACCAGGCTTAGTTCTCACAGACCTGTTTCCAGGCTGTTAGGGGCAGGTGGCTCCTCTGACATCAAGATCCAGCGCCATAGGTAGGCACAGGGGCTCCTGATGAAGTCCCCATGTGGACTGTCCTGCTCTCTTGCTCCTCCAAGGGCTATGTTGCCCTGGAGGCAGCTAGAGGGAGCCAGGAGTTTGGGCTTCAGGTGCTTTCAATCAACAATAGCTGTGAGTGTGTCTATGTGTGTGCGTGTGTGTGTTCTGGGTACAAGTGACTGTGAGAAAGGACGAAGCCATTAGTCACACGGAGGGCTGAGAGCTAGTTCTGGGGAAGGGGACTTCTGGCGGTCACTGGCCACGGCCACGTCCTGGGCAGGGCTTGCTGTGCCTAAACTGTGCCTTCTTCACTGGACAGCTTCCTCCCACCTCGCATGGCCAGATGTCCCAGAGTGGGGCCCCAGTCCTGTCCTCACCAGCAAAAGCCTTGAAGTCCGACTGGCTGTAGTCAAAAGGGGTAAAATCTTTTTCTGTTGGATCTGAGTCCTTTGGCTTCTTGGAAGTCTTGAGTCGTTTCTTCTCCTGTTTCTGCTCCAGGGTCCTCGGGTCGCTTGTTGTTCGCTCTCTCTTCTTAGCAGCATGCTCTAGCTGCAGGGCGAGCACACCCGGGGAGGGAAGCAGGAAGTGCCTGAGAGGGGAAGACCTGCCGCTTCGGTGACAGGTGAGGAGGGCCTAGGAATGCCTGGGCCACAGGTTGGATTTCTGGGGGAACATCTACACATTATATGATGGGGCACCTTAGGATGGGGCCCAAGTCTAAACACCAGAATCATTTGTTTCATTTTCTTTTCTGCAGTAGAAGGAGTGAGCCTACTGCAGAGGGCTCCAGGCATGCCCCCCCACCCCGCCCCCCGCCCTCTTCTGTGCTTCCTATGCCCCTATGCACATAGTTCAACGGGACTGGACACAGTATGCTAAACCATTTTTGGCACAAGCCAAGGTTCGAAGGTGTGGAATGTTCCCCTGTGGTGGTGTGTGCCTGCTCAGGGAGTTTGGATTTGGGAGCATTTTAGATTTGGATATCAGGTTGGGAGGCTCAATCTCTATCAGCTGGGGACTCAGCTGCCTGTATCATATCAACATGGGTTTGGTGGGCGGGGGAGGCCATGGCTGGGTACGAGCAGCCTGGCACTTCAGGACACTCTCATTTGGCTAGTGCCAGCAGGAACAAGTTCCTACCTGGACAGTGATGTCAGTCAATAAGAAAGGCAGGGGTTAGAATTCCAGAGTGCTCTGGGGGTGGTGAGAATGAAGCATTTCCTGGGGCCACACTGCCACCCACAGAAGGGCCTTCTGGCAGATTTGCTATCAGTAGCAGGAGGCGCCATCTAAGGGAAAGGACAGCATCAACCTGCTTGAGGGGAGATGAGGCAGGCACCAGCTGAGGAGCCAAGGTGCCGGGAGTCACCACTTCCTCTGATGCACAGGGGACCCCTCCTCAGATGATCAGGGAGAGCCTGACCGCAACAGGGCGTCCTGTTTCTCACAGGTAAGAGAAGCCAGCACATACCACTGCCTGCTGGCGCACAGAGGTGGCCTGCTCCGCTGCGGCTTTGTACTCTTCCTTTGCCTGTTCCCGGGCAGCTGCAAGAAAGAACAGTCCGTGGAGCTGCCGACCCGGAGCCAGCTCTCCAGCCCTGGCGGTGAGCACAGCTGCCCTCCTGCCCACCGGCCCCTGCAGCGGGCTCATCTTGGCTGATCTTCTCACCTGCACCTGGGCGCTCAATCCCATGTTCCCACCTGCCTGCTCCTCTCCCATGAATCCAGGCCAAATACCCAGCAGTGTCCCTGACACCTCCCTGAGGATGCCGGGTAGGATCACAGCCCTCTGCAGGGCCAGAACCAAAACCTCCTCTCTTGAACCAACTCCTCTGCTGTCTCCATCTTTCCAACTGCTCTGGACAAAACCCTCTGGCATCTAAGGCTCCTCCTTCATGTCATTTGCCACATCCAACTCACTGCATATCGGGGTCCAAACAACCCCTCCCCTCCTGCATACCTGGTCCCTGGGTGTCTCCCAGCAGGTCCCGCCTTCCCTCTACCACCCACTGCAACATGACAGTCCGAGGGACCGGCAACACATCAGCCCCTCTGCTGCTTCCCAACCCACTCAGGGTGAAAGCGGGTCTTTCCCATGCCCTGCCTGGGGTCCCGTCTTCTGCCCCTCTTCCCAGCCTCTGTGCTGCTGCTATGGGCAGCCTTGGCACTCCTTGAGAATGCTCAGGAAGCTGCCACCTGGGCCCTGGGACTTGCTGCGAGGTCAAGGCTGGGCCAGACCCTCCTCCCCTAATCGCTCCAGGACTTGGCTCAATGTCACATTGGTTAGGCTGCCTGCTCCAGCCACGGCCGAGTGGCGGCTGCACCACTTTCCTCGCCTCCCGGCTTTCCCCAGAAACACATTTACTGTCTACTGTCCATTCTGCCGAGGCAGGCTGCCTGAGGCGGGACTGGGCCTGTCGTGGTCACTGTTCTTTCACACTTTGTGGAACGACTGAGTCAAGTGCCTGACGTGCGAGGGCTGTCCTTATCAAACACTGCGTTTACAAGGAAGTGAGGCTACCTGTTTGCTCAGCTGCCTTCTTCTTGGCAGTTTCTTTAGGTTCTTTTTGTACCTGAACCTGGCTGGCCAGCTTCCAACGGTTGCTGATCTATAATGAAAACAGACAAGGCAAAAACACTCCCAGCGCAGCCATCTCAGAGCGCCTCCTCCACGAGGCAGGGGTGGGCACGCTGACCTACCAGCGCCACACGTTCCAAGCCAGAAGTTCCCCATCCAAGGACACAAAAACCAAGTTTCCTGCTGGCCTTTATTTATAAGATCCTTATTGACAAGGACAAAGTGCAACTGCATCCCCGGCGCTAGGCTAGAGGCTGCATACCCAGCAGCTCATTCCATGCCTTCGTCACACTGGGACAGAGCTACCATCACCACTATCCCTTCAGAGGCAAGGGAACAGGCCTGGGAGGCTCTGTGCCTTGGGAGGGACGTGATCAGGGAGTGGTGGAGCTGGGAGTCAAGGCAAGTTCTGCTGTTCTGTGTGACCTGCTGTCAGCTGTGGTGCTGGAACACATCTGGGTGATGCCACACAAGGGCAGCAAGCACAGACAGCTGCTCGTGCCACAATTAGCAGGAAGAAGGGAGAAGGCACAGCTCGACCTGACCCCCAACTCCAACACCTGTAGGTGGACCCTCAGCACCATGGCCAAGACCTGCTGACGTCTGTGCCGCCAAGGGGGGCCCTGGCCTTTGCTGTGAGAGTGGGGCTTCCACAGGGAGAAGGGGCTTTCAGTTACAGTGGAGGCAGGGGGTCTGAAAGCTTCAGCTGTGTTCTAAGAGCTGAGAGTGACGCACAGTGCAAAACTGCATCAAGCTGCACGTTAATGCTGTGCACACTTTTTACATTTTAAATCTCAGTTACGAACACCACAAGACAAAATCTTTTCTTGCAATGCTGGGGATGGAAACTAGGCCTCTCACATGCCAGGAGCCACAGACCAGTCCAAAACCTGTTTCTTAAGAGGTTTCCAAGTGTTTTGGAGAGCCTGAAGTCTACCTCTTGAAGCTTCTCTTCCTAGAAGCAATGCTTAGACAGAAAGGGCTTTTGCACCCACAGAAGATCTCAAGCCCATCCACATGGAACCTCTCTAAAACAGAAACCTAGCTTAAATAATTAAGAAGTCCCCTTTCTTTGTGAATTGCACTTAGAAAAGGTGCTGAATCCACTTACTTCATAGATCTTCGAGGAAGGATCGAGCTTTGCTGCCTGAGAGATGTGGCCCCGGTGCTCTAGTGAAGGCAGGAACTGTGGAAAGGGAGACAGTCGTGGGAACTGCTAGGAGATGGCACGTGGGCCCAGTCAGGGTGCTCACAAGACTGTTGCTGGGGTCACTTAGAAGGCCTTAACTCATAGTCCCAGCCAGGACGCTGAGGACAAGTGACAACTGGACTCACAGGCTTCCCTCCCCAGAGATCTGCTGTTTCTTTTCAGGTAAAAGGCACACCAGCCGGGAGCACATATGGCCAGGACTCACCATCCTAAATGGGTTTTCAAAGGACTCCATTATGTTCTGGGCTTTTTTCTGTGCAACTGTTAATGGACTCTTTCCATTTTCCTCAGCAGTAGGTTCCTACAGGGACAGACAAAACTCCAATCACTTATAACCATGACCATATGTGACATCAGGATGCAAACATGAGAAAAAGAACAACAGTGACATTAGTAATATCAGCTATTCCTTTAAGCCTTCCTGTGTACAAGGCCTTGTGCCTACAATAGCACCTCGTAGGGCTGCAAAACTAATCTGCTGAATTGATAAATTCTCCGTGTCCCCACAATCTATGAGGCACAAGGTACTGCTCTCGTCTCCCAGCCTCTCACTGAGGCCTGGAGCAGCTACGGAAGTCTTCCAGAGCCTTGTGGTTAGCAGTGGCAAGACAAAGATTTAACCCGACACCTTCCTGGCCCGAGAGCTTAAAGGCTTTTTTTGTGTGTAGTACTTGGGGATTGGACCCAGGGGTCCTCTACAATGTTTTTTTTTTTTTTTTTTTTAAATCTTTATTTTTGTTTAGTTTTATGTGTTGCTGAGGATCGAACCCAAAGCCTCACACATGCAAGGCAAGCGCTCTATTGCTGAGCCCCAGCCCTCTCTAGTCTTCTTTACTTTTTTGAGACAAGGTCTGGCTAAATTGCTGAGGCTGGCCTTTGAACTTGTGATGCTCCTGCCTCAGCCTCCTCAGTTGCAAGGATTATAGGTGTGTACCCGCAGGCCGGGCTGGAGGTGTTAACTGACATAGGAAAGGTAATTATGGATCTTTATGGGAAATCAATTAAATTATGCTCCCCATTCTGCAGAGTCCTGGGAGACCACAGCCCCTTCTGACTAAACAGTACTTCCATGTCAATGCAGCCTGGAGTCTGCTCACACTCACTGCTGAGCCTCTGGACGGCTCATGCTATTATCTTGTGGTCAACTGAAGCTCCTAGGCTTCCCTGCCCTCTTCTGCAATGCTGGGAACTGAACCCAGGATTGAACATGTGCTCTGCAACTGAGCTACAACCCAGCCTGACTCTTTTCCCGTGAGCTGCCAAAGCAAGATCCCATCTAAATTCATGCAATTACGTTAAAAAGGAAGTGAAGTTCAAGGTAGTACATTTTACAAGAGACATTCATCTTGGCTTTGTCCAACATTCTGGCATGAAGGGATGACTACAAATTTACTCCTGTAACCTCCTAGTTTAGTTTTACCACTTAGTTTTTGTCATCTGAACATTTGGCAAGCTTGATGACTGTCTTTACCCAACAGGCAAGATTCTTCTCTCAGTTCTTTCTTTCTGAAAATCTCTTGTTCCCAGTACTCCACCTATTTTGGTGCCCAGAGTTGCCCCTGCATGTTCTGCTTGTATCTCCAGTTTTTTGAACACTCACCCATCCTGACCAGCTCATGTACTCAGCCTTCCTTCTGTGAGGAACCTGGAGCTCCAATCACTGGTGGAAACAAGGAGCCCAGGGGTGTGAGCAGGAAGGCTCTGTCACAGCTCAACATGTTCTGGGACCAGGGCCCTCCCCAGGTGAGTGACACGGAGTCTCCAAAACAGTGTCACTAACTGCTATGACCACTCCACAGACCTGCCTTGGCTGCACCTCACTTCCTCTCAGGAACCACAGTGCAACCATTGGCAAAGTTTGCTCTTCTTGGAGAGTACATGTAGAAAGTGCTGGGCACAGGCAGGAAGGTGCACACAGCACAGACTCCATATCTGATTAGACAGACAGTGAGTTGGATGTGGCAAGTGACAGGAAAGAGGAGCCTTGGATGCTAGAGGGTTTTGTCCTGAGCAGTTGGAGAGATGGAGACGGCAGAGAAGCTGGTTCAAGGGAGGAGGTTTTGGTTCTGGCCCTGACAGAGGGCTGTGATCCTACTCGGCATCCTCAGGGAGGTGTTAGGGACACTGCTGGGTATTGGCCTGGGTTCATGTCAGGTGGGAACATGGGATTGAGCAGATCAATGAAATGCATCTTTTAATCCAGTAGGCTTGAGAGATACCCCTGCTCAAGGCATGGAGATGGGCAGTCCCTGCTGGTGGCTGTGTCTGAAAGCTGTGCATCTGTCACCTCAGCCACACCCTCCCCCCTGCTGGGCAGCTTTCCCTTGAGGGGAAGCCAGGGCGTGTCCTGCAGACGACCTCCTTGGAGGGCTGTCTCCCTGCACCTCTCCTTCCACTGCTGCAGTTTCACTCTGGTTAGTCTCCAGGGTGTGTGAATGCTCCTGGCAGACAGCCTGCTGGACGAACCCCACAATACCCACAAAGCTACCTCACCTCACCGGAGCTTCCTGTTACTCACATTAAACAATGTGATGACGGCTGTGGCGAGAAGGCATTTGGTATCCAGCAAGGTCTCCTCTTTTTGGTTAGTGAAGAGGTCCGACTGTTTCTGAGCTGGCACAGATCCTAGCCGCATGAAGTCAGGAAGGTCAAAGCCCGTGGCCTGAGGCAGAGCGGCTCTGAGCCGTGCCAACCCCACTCTTCCTGAGCCCAGGGGTTTCTACTTACTAGCAGTGGGTGTGACTGGGTAGCCATCTGGAGTGGCATGGGAACAGTCATGAGGGCCAAAGAGAACATTCTCCAACCTCTGCATCAAAACAAAACCAGCAGGCCACATGTAAATCTTGGAAGCAGCAGGAGCTGGCCCATAAGGTTTGTGTACATGGACTCTGATGGCTGTCCCTTCCACCCACCACCACGGGGACAGAGGTAATGACACTCCACCTCGACACTGGGCAGCGGCCCGCTCTTCTTCACTCCAGCTGCAGCTTCAGACTAAGGAGGAAAGACAAGGGGCAGTGAGGGAGGCTGCATAAGCTTGAGGACACGTCTCCCCGCAGACTGTGGTTCCCGGGGATGTGTTTCTCTAGAACCCAGAAAGACCGCTGCGTCCTCATCCCTCCCAGTGCCTGGCACTATAGATATCTGGTGCTCAGGAATCGTGCAATCAAAGAACAGAGCTCTTTATCACGATGAGGCACCACAGGAAAGATTCCAAAGAGCCTGCAAGAGTGTCTTCTCTAGCGGTATGGGGCTCCTTCTACTTGGACAAACTGCAGAGCTAAGAAAGACATTTATATTTTTTCTTGAGGTGCTGGGGATGGAACCCAGGGCCTTGCACCTGCTAAGCAACCACTCGACCATGAGACACAGCCCCTGGCCCCCAGAAAGACAAGTGCCAATGTGTTCATGCTCAGATTCTTCTTTGATTTTCTGTCTTTCTGGACCAATTATCTTTCAAAAAAACTACCACATGCTGCTATTACTACTGAGCCAACACATTGAAAACTGTCCCAGTATTATAAACCAAGAGAATGCATGCTGTTTTATGGAATGATTTGCAGCCCAACCACATAATGGAAGGTAAAGTCAATTAAGAAGGTGAAACAAGGGCTGGGGATGTGGCTCAAGCGGTAGCGCGCTCGTCTGGCATGCGTGCGGCCCGGGTTCGATCCTCAGCACCACATACCAACAAAGATGTTGTGTCCGCCGAGAACTAAAAAATAAATATTA